GGCGAGGGTCTCGTCGCAGGGCCGCCCGCTCCTCTGCGCGGCGCCATGAACCTCAGCGTCAGCAGCTCGGAGGAGAAGGCCGCGAGGACCGTGCTCTGGGGTGAGTGGGGGTCCCGGGCTCCTCCCAGCCAGCCCCGCCCCGCCGCGCCGCGCCGCGCCTCCGCCGGTGACCGCCCCGGGGTGAGGGCGGGCCCGAGCCTCTCTGGGGCCTCCCTGCCCCTCCGCCTTCTGGTCTCCCTCCGCAGGCTGTGAGCTCAGTCAGGAGAGGCGGACTTGGACCTTCAAGCCCCAGCTGGAGGGACAGCGGGACTGTAAGCTGCTGCTGCGGACGGTGCGTGGCCCCGAAGGCGGCGAAGGCCGCAGCAGGGGGGATTCTCTGGTCGCGGCAGCCGCAACAGGTTTCCCCCATCTGCCCCTCAGGTCTGCTTGGGGGAGAGAGCCAAAGAGGAGGTGAACCGCGTGGAGATCCTGCCCCCAGCAAGCCAGGACAGGAAGAGGCAGCCCGTCACCATCGCCTCCCTGCAGGCCTCAGTCCTGCCCATGGTGCGCTCCCCTGCGGGCTAGGAGAGTCCCCCCTGGCGGGGGGTGGACACAGTCTAAATGCATTCAACCTATAGAGGTACATTCATGCCAGGGAGGCCACGCAGGCGCTGCCTGAGAGCCCTGTGTCCCGCCCAACTCACCCCTTCCTAGAGCTGTGTGACCTTGGGCGAGTTAGGTAACCTGTCTGCTGAAATTACTTTTTTTTTTTTTTGAGTTGGCGTCTCACTCTGTCGCCCAGAGTGAAGTGCAGTGGCCGCTCCGGCCACCGCAGCCTCGACCCGCTGGGCTCCGGCGATCCTTCCGCCTCAGCCTTCCGAGTAGCTGGAACTACAGGCATGCGCTACCACGCCAGGCTATTTTTTTTTTTTATTTATTGTAGAGATGAGGTCTCACCAAGTTGCCCAGGTGGGTCTGGAACCCGCGAGCTCAGGCAATTCACTCACCTCAGCCTCCCAAGGCGCTGGATTACAGGCTGAGCCGCTGAGCCCGGCCTAAAAGTACATTCACTGCTAGTGACAGGAACACCGTGGATCTACATCTTGGTTGTGTATCTAGAAATTCTCTTGTTTCTAATTATTTTTTCTCAGATTTCCTCCCTTCCTCCCTCCCTCCCTCCCTCCCTCCCTTCCTTCCTCCCTTCCTTCCTTCCTTCCTTCCTTCCTTTTCTACCGTCACCCAGACTAGAGTGCACCAGGCCTAATTTTTTTTTTTAATTTGTATTTTTGTAAAGACGAGGTCTGTCTGTGTTGCCCAGGCTAGTCTCAAACTCCTGGCCTTAAACGATCCTCCCACCTTGACCTCCCAAAGTGCTGGGATTACAGGCTTGGATTTTTCTATGCAAATAATCATTTGTGAATACTGGCAGTTTGTGGCTTTCTTTTCTTTTCCTCATTTTTTTCTTTTCCTTTAATCCTATTGCACTGGCTAGGACCTCCAGTATAATACTGGATTAACATAAGGGTTGACATCCTTACTTCCTTCCTGATTTTTTAAAAAAGGAACGCTTCTAATGTTTCTCCACTAAGCATAAAGTGTTTGGAAAATATACTTTGTCGGGTTAAGGAAGTCTCCATCTAGTCTTAATCTGCTTTTAAAAATTTTGTTCATATTAATGAGGGTTAATATTTTATCAAATGCTTTTCTGTTCATATGATTCTAGGTTCTTTAATCCATTAATGTGATAAATTATATTAACAGAATGATATTTGAACCACTTTGCATTCCTGAGATAAACACTACTTGATTATAAGTTCTAGATTTGCTTTGCAAATATAAAGGGTGTCAAAAAAATGCATACCCATTTTAAGAAGGGAAAAAAATATTGATATTGTAATAATATACACTAATAACAAAAGATGAATACAAGTCACATTTGAATTCTGCAATTACAAGAGGTGCTCAAAGTGGTTACCATAAGCATCCAGACACTTCTGATTACAGTGATCGTCTCTTAACATTACTTAAAATGTGTATACATTTTTTTGGCACCCGGGTATATTGTGACTTTTCTTTCTCATGTACTTGCGAGGTTGGCCTATAAATGATCTTTTTTGAGTGTCAAGGCATACTAGCACCGTGAATTAAGAGGGTAGAGTGTTCTCCCCTTATCTTCCCCGGAACAGTGAATTTAACACTAGGATTAGCTGTTCGTGAAGGCTTGGGAGACCCATCTGTCAAATCTCAGACCTATTTTTTGTCTACACACACTTCTTAGGAGATTGCATCCATCCCCGTGGCTTTAAAGATCACCTGCACAAATGAAGACTCTGGAACTTACTTCTGTAAACTCAGCTTCTCTCTTGAGCTCCAGGTCCTATGTCCAACTCAATGTATTTAACAGATAGCTAGCAGAAATTCCAAATGGAACATGTCTAAATCCAAATACTTGATTTTTTCCCTCTAATCTACCCTCCCCTCCGCCACTTGACCCTCTCCCAATAAATAGCTGTTCTTCCAGTTAGGATAAAAACCGCTTTCTCTCATGCCCAGATCTGATCCACCAGCAAATCCTGTTGGCTTTACCCTCCCATTTTACCCCAGACCACATCTCGCAGCCTCCTGCTACCCTGGCCCAGGTGACTGACGCTTCTTGCTTAGTTTTCTTGTTGGGCCTCCCAACTGGTCTGTCTTCACCTTGGGTCCCCTGTAGTCTATTCCAGGGTAGGCAAACTATGGGGCTGAATGTAGCCCGCTGCCTGTTTTTGAAAGTAAAGATTTATTGGACCACAGCCACACTCGTTCATTTATATCTTATCCATAGGTACTTTCCCTCCATAATAGCCAAGTCAAGTGGTCTTCACAGAGACTATATGGTTTACAAACCTAAAATATCACCTTCTGGCCCTTTACAGAAAGTTTCCAGGCCTCGTGTCTATTCTGCACTCAGCTACCAGAAAGATCCTTTTAAACACAGGTCAGATAATGTGGCTTCTCTGCTAGAACACTTAGGTAATGGCTCCCATTTTGCTCCGAATAAGAGCTGAGAGTTGTCCACGGCCTCCTCAGGGCCTTTGTGTGCTGGCCTCGGCAACCTCTCTGATTTAGGTATATACGTCTTATACCTTATGTTTTAGTTATGAATTTTGTATGCACTATGTAGCTAGACTTCATTTTAATCTCTCTGGTCAGTACAGTCTGCCTCTTTATTGTGATTGCTGATATAACTGGATTTATTTGGGACATGTATTTTTTACTTCTGCTTTGCTTTTTTATTTATTGAATTTTTTTCCTATTTTAATTATATTGATTATAGTTTCTCCCTTTTCTACTGGCTCAAAAGTTATAGAATCTCATTCCAATTTTTAATTGGTTATCCTTTATTATTTTTTATTCTTGAGTCAGGTTCCCACTCTGTTGCCCAGACTGGCTGGAGTACAGTGGCATGATCATAGCTCGCTGCAGCCTCAACAAGCAATCCTCCTGCCTCAGCCTCCTGTAGATAGGACTATAGGCCTCCTGAATAGTTTGGACTACAGGCAAGTGCCACCACACCTGGTTATTATTATTTTTCTTTTTTTTTCTTTTTTTTTTTTTTGAGTTGGAGTCTCATTCTGTCGCCCAGGCTGGAGTGCAGTGGCAGGCTCATGGCCACCCCAGCGTCGACCTGCTAGGCTCCGGCAATCCTTCCACCTCAGCCTTCCACGTAGCCGGAACTACAGGCACCCACTGCCACGCCCAGCTAATTTTTGATTTATTGTAGAGACGAGTTCTCGCCAAGTTGCCTGGACTGGTCTCGAACCCACGGGCTCAGGCAATCCACTCACCTCAACCTCCCAAAGTGCTGGGATTATAGGCTGAGCCACTGAGCCCGGCCTATTATTTTTTATTTTAACTTTTTGTTGAGATGAGGTCTCTTTGTTGCCCAGGCTAGTCTGGAACTCCTGGGCACAAGCAACCCTCCTGTCTCAACCTCCCAAAGTGCTGGGATTATAGGTATGAGCCACCTTGCCCAGTCATTTATCCTTACATTTTTAACAATCACACTTGACCTACAGTTTAAAATTATGGTTTTATTTCCTCCCAAATTATCCAAGGAGCTTTTCTAATTCTTCTCTTCCTAGACTTAAATGTTGTTAAATCAGCTAGTGTTTTAGTGCCAACATGATATTAACCTCAACACTACACATTAGTAGTACTATTTTATTTTACAATCAATACTTACGCAGGTTTCCTTTATCTACCAATTTGTTTGCTCACCACTGCTGCTTGCACCTACTTCTTTCTTGAAACATGCATCATCTTTTTGAAACATGCATTAGTGAATGTGGGAATAGTAAAGTCACTCGGGCTTTGCCTGGAAGTACTGTTATTTTGCCCTCATTCCTTCATGATAGTTTGGCTGTGTTTATATTCTAGGTAGAGAGTTTCCCTCAAAACTCCAAAGCTGTTTTTCTTCTGGTTTCCAATATTGCCATTGAAATCCCCAATCTGTTTGATCATTATTCTCTTTTTTAGAGATCTGTCTTTCCTCTCTGGTTTATTTGAAGATAATCTCTTTTGGTTTTGTTTCCTACAGTTTTACCATGATATGGTCAGGTGTAGGTTTATTTTTATTTATCTGTTCGGCGCTTAGGTTTCCCGGCTATGAGGATCCATATCTTTGATCATTTCTGGAAAACTCTTGATGGCTATTGCTTTGAATATTGACTCTTTGTTCTCTCTGATTGGATGTGTGTTGGACCTTCTCATTCTATCCTCCATGTCTTGCCTCTCTTTCGTATGTTTAAAAACTCTTTGTGCCTCCTATCTTGTGTCTCACAGCACTATCTATCTTACTAATTCTTGCTTCTTTCTGGTTTATTCTGCTTTTTATCTTTGGTTTGCTTTTCGTGTCTAGAAAGTTGCATTTGGTTCATTTTTCATATTTCATAGTGTCTTGTTCTTATGAGTCTGATTCTTTTATCTGTTTTTGGGGGGGTTTTTTGTTTGTTTTTTTTAAGAGACAGGGTCTTACTCTGTCATCCAGGCTGGAGTGCAGTGTCACGATCATAGCTCTGTAACCTCAAACTGCTGGCCTCAAGTGATCTTTCCTTCTTGGCCTCTCAAAGCACTGGGATTACAGGCCACTGTACTCGACCTTTTTTGGTTTTAATCAAACGTACTTAATAGTTTTTTAGACTGGCAGTCTCTTAAATTCTTGGCTGTCTAGTCTGCAGTCATCTGGTTTCTGCTGACTCTAGCAAAATTGTTTCCCTGTTTTGTAACTTTATATGATGAACTCATCTGTAGGTTTTTTAGTTAGTTTTGTTTTTTTCCAAAAGAATTCTGTGTTGTCTGGGTTTGGGGAGTGTCCCAACAAAGTGGTTTAGTGTTTGCTTCTGCCATTTACCCCAGGAATATCACAAGCCTGGGACTGTATACAAATTTCTTGACTTGGCAATACCCACTCAATAATTTCAGACTGCAGAATGAGAGGTAATGATATGGGTTTTTAGGCTATCACGGGTGACTTCTTTTATTCTCACTCATACTTCCTTGTTATCTTCCTTTAATGGTGGTGAGGGTTTTGGTTTTTTTATTAGGGGGGGGGTTAGTTCCCAGTCCTCATTCTGGGCCTCTTACTAAGGGTGCAGCTCTTTGAGCGTCCTGGCCTACACATGGTAGTTACAGCTGTCCTCCTCCCAAACCCAAGGCCTTGTCTCCTGTCCTCTGGTGATTATGAAAGCCCAGAGCCCTGGCTCTTTCCAGATCCATTTCCCTTCAGTTGTTGCACACCAGTTCCCACACAAGCCCCTCTTCACTTCAAACACAAAGACTCTTCCTTCTGTCTTACTACTCAGCCATGCAGTAGAAACATGTAGTTACATTCAGTCTGGCACTTCTAGGCACTTATGGCTACCGAGTTCAATTTTCACCTGTCTTTCTCCTGTCTGAGCCAAAAGCTCTAAATTAATCTCTCTGAGCCTCAGTTTCCTCCTCTGTAAAGTAACAGTACTTCCATCACGGGCTTCTCATGAGGATTTCAATGAGATAAAGCAAGTAAAGTGCTTAGCATGGTGCCAGGCATGTGGTAGAAGCTCAAAAACTATAAGTTACCATTGTCCATATTCTAGAAAATTTGCAAAGTTTGGAAAAGTAGAAAGATAAATACCTTCTATCCACAGACAGTTATAGTTAGCACTTTAATATATCCCTAACCTTTATTCATATGTATATCCATCCATTACACACAAGGCAAAAAAAGTCGTACTGTACGTACAAACCTTGCATCTGCTTTTCTCATCTGATCAGTGACTCAGGCTGCCATAACAAAACCCCACAGGCGGGGGACTTCAACAGCAGAGGTTTATTTTCTCACAGTTCTGAAGGATGGAAGCCTGACATCAGGGTGCCAACATGGTTGGGTGCCTGAGATCCAGGTGCCAGCACATTCAGCAGCAGAGTGAGGGCTCTCTCCTCGGCTTGCAGGTGGCAGCTTTCTCACTGTGTAGTCATCTTGTGGGAGTGGGGACGGGGGAGAGTGCTCTAGCATCTAATAATGGCACTAATCCCATTACAAGGGCCCCACCCTCAGGGCCTCATCTAAACTGAATGACCTCCCAAAGGCCCCCATTTCCAAATACCACCACATTGGAGGTTAGGGATTCAATTCAGCATATGAATTGGGGGGCAGAAAGACATTTATTCATTTATTTACTTAGTTGCTAAGTCATGATCTCTTTCTGTCACCCAGGCTGGAGTGCAGTGGGACAATCGTGGTTCACCACATCCTCAATCTCCCGGGCTCAGGCAATCCTTCTATCTCAGCCTCCCAAGTAGCCGTGGCTACAGGCGTGTGCCACCATGCCTAGCTAACTTTTTTTTTTTTAATGTTTAATTTCAAAGTTGTGTTACAGTCTTTTTTCTTTTTCTTTCTTTTTTTTTTTCTTTTTGAGTTGGAGTCTTGCTCTGTTGCCCAGACTGGAGTGCAGTGGCCGCTCCCGGCCACCGCAGCCTTGACCTGCTGGGCTCCGGAGATCCTTCTGCCTCAGCCTTCTAAAGCAGCTGGAACTACAGGCATGCGCTACCACGCCCGGCTAATTTTTTGATTTGTTGTAGAGATGAGGTCTCGTCAAGTTGCCCAGGCGGGTCTCGAACCCGTAGGCTCAGGCAATCCACTCACCTCAGCCTCCCAAGGCGTGGGATTACAGACTGAGCCACCGAGCCCGGCTCAGACTTCTTAACGTGACAGCTTCCCCTCTTTGAAGCCCATCCATGATCTCAGCGAGAATAAGGTGATCAGGTTCACGTTCTTCTTAGACCCTCAGCAGAGGGGTCCCGGCAGCCCACGAGTGTTTGTGGTTGGGGGAGGGAAATAAACTCTGAGTCTTTCTGTCCGTGGCCAGCCCCCACCCAGTGCCGGGCCTGAGTCACCCTATCTTCTCTGCTCCTCCACCTACAGGTCAGCTTGATGGGATTCCAGCTGTGTCCTCCAGTCACTTTTCAGCTCCGGGCTGGCTCAGGACCCGTGTTCCTCAGTGGCCAGGAATGTTATGGTAAGTCCACATTTGGACATAGGAAAGGTCTGAGAGTACAGTGCCTGGCACAGGACTAGGGACATGCTAAGTACTCAGACACTTGAGGCATTCTGGAATGTTTGGAGAAAATACCCAAAGGCAAGATGACCACCAGCAACCTGGACTGGAAGGTCACGGGCAAGGGTCCTGGTCCTCCCTGCCACATCCTCTGGACCTCCCTGCCACATCCTCTGTGGGCCTTAGCCCCTCAGCCTGTAGCATGAGAGTGGGGCTATCCCCGGTTTCACCTTCGAAGTGTAGTTGTAAGGAATAAAAGGGATATTTAGGAAAAGCACTTAGCCTGGTATCTTGCACCAGGAAGCCCTTAAAGCATCATCTGCTGTCTGGGATGCTTTAAGTGAGCCCTAGTCTCTTCTCTGCACAGTGGTGCTTGTATCAGGGTACTGTCTTGCTTAAAAGCCCTTGACAGAGTGAGGCTCAGCGGCATGCCCATAGTCCCAGCTACCTGGGAGGCTGAGGCAGGAGGAGCACTTGAGCCCCAGGAGTTTGAGGCCATCCTGGGCAATATCGCAAGACCCTGTCTCAAAAACAAAACAAGGCCAGGCATCGTGACTCACATCTGTAATCCCAACACTTTGGGAGGCCGAGGTCAGAGGATTGCTTGAACCTAGTTCGAGACTCACCTAGACAACATAGTGAGACTTTGTCTCTACAAAAAAATTTAAAAATTAGCCAGGTGTGATGGTGGGTACCTGAGTCCCAGCTACTCTGGAGGCTTAGAAGGGAGGATCGCCTGAGCCCAGGAAGTCGAGGCTGCCATGAGCCACGATGGTGCCACTGCACTCCAGCCTAGGCAACAGAGTGAGACCCCAACTCAAAAACAAAACAAAACCACCCTCGGCAGCTCCCATTTCCCTTAGGATAAGGTCTGAACTCCTAAGCAGCTGTTTTCAGTTCCGCCCCACCCCTTGCCAATATGAATCCTTCTCCAGCCAGAACCACTGACAGGTGTGAGTCACCGCATCTAGCCAAACTCCTTCAGTAACAGCTTCTCCTTAGCTTTGAAGCCCATCCATGATCTCCGCGAGAATGAGATGATCGGGTTCACATTCTTTTGGGACAGACCCTCCGCAGAGGGGTCCCGACAGCCCACGAGTGTTCATGGTCGAGGGAGGGGAATAAACTCTGAGTCTTTCTGCACTCGTTCTACTGCCCCCAGCCCTCCGTGGACCTTTCCTGGATCCCCTCCCCCACCCTGGCTCCCATTTTTGTCAGGAGAGCCAGAAAGGGGATGGATGGTTGCCGCCCTACCACTTGTCACGGGCCACTTTCAACTCTAGGCGATCCTCACAGCAAAACAGAGCACGGGGCCACAGAAGGGCATCGACCCTGAAGGAGCTCAAAAGCGCTGCCCCTGCCCTTTCCTGTGCTGTCTGCAGATAGTTCAGATCTAACCTGGGAAGAAGAAGAGGAGGAGGAAGAAGCAGAGGAAGAGGAGGTGGAGGAGGAGGAAGACGAGGAGGAGGAGGAGGAGGAGGAGGAGGAGGATGCAGACGTGTCTCTGGAGAAGGAGACCCCTGTCAGACAAGTCAAAAGGCTGTTGCCCCAGAAGCTGACCAGTGTGGCTAAGGTGGGCAAAGGAATGTGGCCGTTTGAAATGAGACGGTGACCCTGAAGAGGGACGGGACCCCAGGAGCCTGGGCCCGGCCTCCCATGCTGAGCGTGCAGGACAGGCCAAGGCCACTGAGGCCAAGTCCTGCCAGCTGCTCCGCTGGGCGCCTCGTGGGTCTCGGAGTCTGCTCTGGCCCCGAACCTTGCCCTAACTCTCCTAACATGCTCGTTTTTGGTTCCCAGAAAAAAAAGCTGGAAAAAGAAGAGGAGGACGTGAGGTAACCAGAATCTTTTAGCCGAGGTATACGTATGAGGGTGACCACCCCAAAACCCAGAATTTAAGTATAAAAACTGTGTACTTATTCTTACACGTTTAAACTTCAGTCACCTTTAAAGTATTCTCTGTTTGAGGCAACACACCTATCGAGATATTGCTCAAACAGTTTTTGAACTCGTCAATTTTGATGCCTTTTAGTGCTTCTGTGGTTTGTGTCTCACCTCTTCCACATTGGCAAACCGTTTCCCACTGAGGACTTTTTTTTAACTAGGAAAAAAAAAAAAAGTTGCTCAGGGCATAGGTTGAATAGGGAGGGTGAGGCATGGGGGCCATGCTGGTTTTGGTCCAAAACTGCTGAACACTCAGCGTGGTGTGGGCAGGCAAGCTTGTAAATCACCCATCATGAAATGGGCAAACATGTTGAAAGAAATCTCCAAAAAAATTCACTGAAGTTGAATGCAACTTTTTTTTTTTTCGAGTCGAAGTCTCACTCAGTTGCCCAGACTGGAGTGCAGTGGCCGCTTCCGGCCACCGCAGCCTCGACCTGCTGGGCTCTGGCGATCCTTCCGCCTCAGCCTTCCGAGTAGCTGGAACTACAGGCGCGTGCTACCACGCCCGCCTCCTTTTGACTTATTGTAGAGATGAGGTCTCACCAAGTTGCCCAGGCGGGCCTCGAACCCGTGGGCTCAGGCAATCCACTCACCTCAGCCTCCCAGGGCGCGGGATTACAGGCTGAGCCCCCGAGCCTGGCTAACATTACTTTTATAATGAAAAAGACCTCTATGATCAGTAAAAGAAGGAAGGTAGAAAGCTAAGAAGAAAAAAAAGCCCACCCTGTTTTAAAAGAGTCAGGCGCCGAGTGCGGTGGCTCACACCTGTAAGTACAGCACTTTGGGAAGCAGACCAGCCTAGGCACCAAAGCAAGACTTCGTCTCTACAAAAAAATCAAAAAAATAAGCCGGGTGTAGTGGTGCATACCTGCAGTCCCAGCTACTCAGGAAGCTGAGATGGAGGGTGAGGCTGTGGTGAGCCATGATGGTGCCTGGATGACAGAGTAAGACCCTGACTAAGGAAAAAAAAAAGAGGGATCGATCCCTGGAAAGCAACTAGCCAGGACTCACTTTCCAGGGTGGACACTGGGAGGGCCCACGCCACTAGCATTGAGCTGAGCTCTCCCCCATCCCACCCTGTTTCAGACCCAGTGTTACCGACAAAAGCCCTGTGAGAAAGGTGAGTAGTGATGAGACGGCTGGCCCCGGGAGAGGTGGGTGATCTCTGAGGAGGCTGCCCAGGCTGGGGAAGGGGGTGGGACCCTAGAGTTCTGCCTTCCCTCCACAGGTCAAACCCACACTGAAACCCAAGAAGTCAGGACCCAGGAAATGAAGAACCAGGGCCTCGGAGACCACCGTGCAGCGTGGGCCTTTTCCAGGCTAAGCTGGGGCTCAGGGCACCCCCCCCACCTGGCCCCTCTGTGTCCGAATATGACAGAGGTGTTGTGGGGATGACACAAGAGCCCTCACCCCCAACTCTCGGGTTTCAGGAGGTCCTGGAGAGAAGAGCCCAACCTCAGAGCCACAATAAAGTTTTCTTTATCAGACCTTTCCTCCTCCTCTTCCCTGGAGTTGCTCTTCCCTGGAGTGCCCAGCAGAGGGCGGCCTCGAACCGGCACGCCCCGAGCAAGGTGCTACCTGCCTCCACCTGCCCACCAGACCAAGGCGGCTACATCCCTCTTCCTAGGACTTCCCAACCCCCAGCTTTGAGGAGAGAACCCAGCATCTTGGCCCTCTGCTGAGCTATGAAAAAGGGTCTTCCTGCCTCCAGTTTCCCTCTGGGCAGAGCCAGGTTTGCAGGTACAGAAACTGTTCATGTTCCCAGGAAGGGCCTTGGCCCGAGGGGGCCTGCTCAAGGGTCTCCCCCAAGCCCTGTCATGACAGGCAGTGGTCAGATGTGCAGGACCTCTAAAGGGACCGCTGGGACACCTGCTCTCCCAAACGTACTTCTGTTAGGAGTTAGTTGCTTTTTGATTTCTAGACACAGTTTCACTCTGTTACCAGGCTGGAGTACAGTGGCAACGATCTCAGCTCACCACAGCCTCAACCTCCTGGGCTCAAGCGATCCTTTCCGCCTCAGCCTCCCAAGTAGCTGGGACTACAGGCGCCCCCCTGTTCCAATCCAGGGGCCAGCTCTTGCTCACAAGGACCCCACACATGTAAAGACCTGCGTCAGGCCGGGTGGTGGCTCACGCCTGTAATCCCAACACTGAGAGGCCGAAGTGAGAAGATTGGTTGAGCTCAAGAGTTCAAGGCCTCATCCCTGTGCTCCATCCCTGGGCTCATGGACAGGGCAGGCAGGGCCAACTCCCCATTGGCTCACTTCAGGCCTGGCCCACAGGGGTGCTTGGGAGGGACAGGGAAAAGTCCAGCAGAGACCCTTCACATACAGCCCCAGAGTGGCTGGGTTCAAGGCATGGGAAGATCAGCCACATCTGGGAGTCTGTCAAGCCATAGCTTCTCTGAGAATAAAAAATTTAACCAGGCACGGTGACACGTGCCTATAGTTCCAGCTACTCGGGAGGCTGAGGAGGAAGGATCACCTGAGCCCAGGAGTTTGAGGCTGTGGTGAGCCGTGATCATGCCACTGCACTCCAGCCTAGGTGACAGAGTGAAACCCCAACTCAAAAAAAAAAAAGAAAACCCTGCGTCAGAGACCTGTATTCTCAAGGAAGCCCTTAGAGGTGGGGTAGACAGGGTGAGCTTTACAGAGGCCTGAGCCCTACATTGCCATTTGAACAGGGCTCAGTCAGATGTAGGCCCAGGGAGGACTGGAAAATAGGACAGAGGACCTGCTCCATGGCTCTGGCCTCCTGTCCTCTCCCTGGTACACAGAGAGCGCTTTGGAGACCTGTGCATCCATGGGTGACCCTGGCGAGGTCCCTGGAGCAAAGAGACACACAAGGGGTCCCTCATTCTGAGGCTGTATGTGAAGGGTCTCTGCTGGGCTTTTCCTTGTCCCTCCCGAGCACCCCTGTGGGCCAGGCCTGAAGTGAGCCAATGGGGAGTTGGCCCTGCCTGCCCTGTCCATGAGCCCAGAGATGGAACGCAGGAAATCAGAGGTCCTTGAGCCTTTGGGTTCAAGGCATGGGAAGATCAGCCACATCTGGGAGTCTGTCAAGCCACAGCTACTCTGAGACCAGAACCAACAGAGGCAGAAGAGGGTGGACTGGCTTTTTTTTTTTTTCCCCGAGTCAGACTCTCACTCTGTTGCCCAGGTTGGAGCGCACTGGCACAATCACGGCTCATTGTAGCCTCTAACTCCTATGCTCAGGCAATCCTTCCACCTCAGCCTCCTGAGTAGCTGGGATTACAGGCACATGCCACCACACCCGGCTAATGTTTTTACTTTTTTGTAGAGACGAGGTCTCACCCTGTTGCTCAGGCTGGGAACTGGTATTCTTGCCACTTGTGTCCTACACCCCATGAAACAGATGTGAGTGCTGTCTCACTCTCCAACAAACAAGTCACTGACTGCAGGTGACTGTCCCAGGTAGGCAGCTGGTGTTTATTGAGCATGGTAACAGCCACAGCCATAGAGGATGGACAAAACCGATTCCTCACCTTCAGGTCACTCACCGTCTAAAGGAAACACAGAAGCCAGCACCAGACTTCAGTGACTGTCGAGTGCTTTGAAGGAAGTAGAACAGGTTAATTTCCAGGGCAGGGAGCACTGCTGAGTGAGGAGGTCTGAGCGATCCCTCGGTGGAGGCCATAGACAAGGAGGTGGCGATGGGCTGCGTGAGGAGCTCACGGAAGGACATTCCTGGGAACAGGAACAGAATGTGCAAAAGGCCTGAGGCAGGCGTGAGCTTGGAGGCTGACAGGATTCCAGTGATAGCAGCTAGCACCACAACTCTTAAATCCGCACAACCATGCTTTAAGGGGGTTGTGATTAGCCCCATTTCTCATGAGGAAAGTGAGGCACAGAAAGTCTGGACAACTGGCTCCAAGATCGCACAGCTGGCGGAGGAGCCGGGCAGTCTGGCCCCGGAGCCCCCGCTTCTGACCCTTCTGCAGACGAGAGGGAGCTCCGTGCGCTTAGGAAGTCTTGTAAACGGAAAGCAGAAGTCAGACGTCAGTCCACCGTGCCACAGGAGTCCTCAGGGGACAGCGGGACCTCTCTGTGGCCAAGCATGTACTGAGCGGGAACTTTCTCCCTTCCCCTGACCCCAGGCATAGGAGGGCACTCAACAGATAGACCGGTGATCACTTGATTTTGATCAGCAGGCAGACAATAGGCGTCAGAAAGCAAAGATGGAGGTCTGTCTGCATCGCTAGAGTGCCCTTTGCCCTTTGCCCTTCCCCTGCCCTAACCCTCCCGTTTTCAGCAGGAAAAGAGTGGGCTGGGCTGAAGCAGGTGGTGACAAGTGGCTAGTCTGCAGGTGGGCTCTGTGTTTGCCCCAGCTGGGCTGTTAGGAGGAGCAGGCGTGAGACAGCCCGCCTGGGGGGTGTTGAACTTGGCACTAGGGGGTGGAGATTAACCACTGCAGCCCAGGCTACTTCTCACCATCCTCATCACCTCCTGCAGCCCCGGAGTACATGCTAATGAACCCCACCCTTCTGCCCTCCCCCTTACCCCAGCTCACTCCAGTCAGGGGAGAAAGTCTGACAGTTTAGGTAAACTGAGGCTAAACCACATAAAAGTCCCCCTCCTCCCCTTCCCCTTTCTTGTGACACCTGATACTTCCCAGTGAGTCCTTTATCTCAGTTGTCACGCATGGCAGCAGTTTTGACAGCATCAACGGTAGTAGCCTTTGCCTTTTTATAAACTGGGAACCTGAGACCAGAGAAGTAAAGGGACTTGCCCCAGGTCACACAGCCTGCAAGGACCAGGGCAAGGGAGTGGGAATAAAATCCAGGGCTCTCCATGCCACCTCCCTCCTCAGGGTCCACCACGGCTTCCCCATGGGGATAAAGGAGCATCGAGTCAGAGGCCAGGCCTGCAGGAGCCAAACAGGGACAAGGAACTAAACGTGGCTCACCTGTGTAGCAGCCCCTCCACACTCCCCCGCCCCATGCCCCGGAGCCCTGTGGCTGAGTCCGAAGGCCAAGCTTGACTGCTGGCATGGAGACCCACCCTGGGCCGAGCGCTGGCCGATGACAGCAGGCCCTGCTCCTACCGATAGGAACCTGGCCCTCAAGCTCAGAGGCCTTAAGCAGTTTTCACTGTCCCTATGGCCAGCAGGTCCCCACAGCACAAAGTGAACCCCCCCCTGCCTTCCATCCCCTCAGCCAGCACCGCCATTCTGGAGCCCAAGGCCTGAGCTGTCCCCACCCTGTGTCTGTGCACTCTTGCATCTGACAGCCCAGAGAATAAAGCCAGAGCCGATGGAAGAGGCAGGGTCTAAAACAGGCCTCCAATGATAGGCAAAACATGGCAGAGGGAAATGCCCAGGAGGTTCTGCAGGACCAAAGTCTAGATGGGCATCTGGGCACCAGGCACCTTGTCCAGCCTCGCCTCCAGCCAGCTGTAAGGTTTAGGGAAGTCGCTTGCCCTCTCTGGGTGTGTGAACTGAGGAGGCCAAATCTCCAAGATCCCATCCAGGTCTGAAATGCTTTGAGTTTAATCCCCAAACCCTGGACTCTCCGGGGTGAGCAGGCTCACACCACCCTCCCCACAGCGGCTGAGGCTGAGCTTAGCCCAGGCCGCCCATAGGGGGGCCTGGGAGATCCCTGAGATGTCTGTGCTGGTGTGGGGGCAGGGGTGGCAGACCACTTTGTGGATTGCTGGAAGGTGAGAAGGAGCCTTGAGGTGAGAGCGGCACCCTCTGGTCATCTCTTTAGGTAAATGTGTCTACAGTTGGCACTTCCCCTTCCCTTCCTGGAGGCACTGAGAACTCCAGGGAGCCCAGAGCTAGGCCTAAGCTCCTTCCCTAGACTGGGGCTTTCCTCAGAGACCCCCTAGCCCTTCCCCTCCTGCAGTCACTGCCGACCGCCTCTCTGCAGGGAAGGAACAGGCGTAGAGCCCCATGGTCGCCTGTTTCCAGGACCCCAATACTGCCTTTAATCTCAAAAATTCAGGAAGGCTTCTGGGTCCCTACAATGAAGCAAGTCTGGGGTTGAGCCTTGGAGGGTGGGGACATAATCCGTGCAGAACAGAAAAAGCATGGACTTTGGAAACCTGGGGACTCCATTCCAAAGCTTGGTCATCCTGAGTCAATTACCTACCAATGTGCCTCAGTTTCTTTGCAAAACGGGATGGTCGCCGGCATGGCACAAAGCAGTAGGCACTTCATCCCAGGCAGTGCCCCGGGGACACAGAGCGGGGGCTCTGAGCTCTTCCCAGTTGAGGGAGAGACTAGGAATGGACACTGGGGGGACGGGGGCGGAAGGGTGATGGGGACTGGGTCTCAGCCCAAGAGTGAGTTTCAGTTCTGGAACACACACATTTTGAAGTCTACTAAGTGCTGTGATCTGATTTGCACCCCCCAAAATCCTGAGGCATTCCTGTCCCCATTTCTCAGACAAAACTACAGAGGCCCAAGGAAAAGACGCTTGTGCCAGCGCACCTGGCTCTTCTCTGAGTCTCCAGCTCAGAACAGCTTTTGCAACTCCCGTTGGGATTCTTCCGAGGCCCCCAGCCGCAGCTTCCTCCCCACACCTGCCCCCCAACTTGTTGTACCCACGATTTGCTGCCCGCCAGGACAGCCCGAACCCCTCCTTCCTGGTGACAAGGGGTGACTGAGAGGCAGTGCGATCGATTGCTACTCCGAGCCAAGCCCACCCCTGCCCCCTGGAGGGAGGCTCCTCCTTTTAAGGCTGCTTCTGGGATTTTCCACCCCAGAGCCAGAGCCAGAGCCCCCAGCCCGGGGCTCAGCACACCTGCGCTGACCCTCGGGGAGATGGGGCGCCGGAGCTGAGGGCAGAAGCTGACCCTGAGAGGGGAAGAGGGGCGTCCCTCCCTGCCTGCCACACGTACGGCATCGCATCGAGCTCGCCGGGTCCAGGGGGGTCAGGAATAGGGCGGGAGGCCGCAGGGCCACCTCCTCGTCGAGAAGGCCCCCGCAGCCCCGTCCCCGCACCGGTAGCCCAGGAGAGGCTGGCAGCCCAGAGGGCACGGGCGCGCGCCCCCGCCGCTCAGCTTTGCAGCCTCACTGGCCAGGAAGGTGGACACCTCACACCTCAGTCTCCCAATTACGCCCTCCTCCCCTCTCCCCCCTCCTCCCTCTCCTCTCTCCTCCTCCCCGCTCCTCCTCACCCCCCTGAAAACCTGTGGCTCGGAGAGACCTTGGCTTCTCTGGGACTCTATCCCCAGGGACTGCCCACATCTGCTCCTGAGCTTGGGGGCAGGGGGGTCGCTGCCTAAGGAGCCTTTCCAGCGATGGGAGCCGCCTGCCTGCTGCCCAACCTCACTCTGTAAGTGCGCTGCCTCCCGGGCTGGACTTTTGTTGCCATTTTCAGCCTCTGGGCAGACCTCCTGTGCCCAAACTCCCACATGGGCTGGCGGGGCAGGCTGGGGCGGGGGCCTGGGTGCGCGCTGGGCCTGCCGCTGGCACCCAACCTGAGCCTGCCTGGTCTCCCCACACAGGTGCTTGCAGCTGTTGCTTCTCTGCTGTCAAACTCAGGTAGGCGGGCGCCCCCACCGGCTTCTCCCCACCTTCCCCACCCCACTAATGGAGGGTGGGGGTCATCTTTGCGGTAGACAGAGGCAGAGTCTGGCCTCTCCCGGGTCCAGGAGTTGCTGAGGTTTGGAGGGGTGTCGGCCTTCAGCGGGGAGGGCAGGGCGAGGGTGATGGCAGGTTTGGGGGTTGACCGAGTCCTCCCTCTGCTGACCCTCCCCACCTCCCGGGGGTCTCTGCTGCTCTCGCCACCCCTCTGCACCTGGCTCCCCCAGAAGGCTAAGTGCACGGGCACACCAGGCTGGAGATTGGATCCCTGGAGTAGTGGGAAGCGGGTGGTGGTGATGGCTCAGGTGAGGCTCGTCTTCCAAGTACCGGAGAGGACAGGCTTTGATGCAAAGCCACTTGTCTGTTCCACTCGTCAGCCCACTCCCAGCAACACAATGTCCTGGGAGGGGGTCTCATGGGCACAGGCAGAATGCCCCGCCAGGGTGGGGTGATCCTTACCTACAGGGCAAAGAGGTCAAGCCCAGAGAGGCTTGTTTGGCACGGGATCCAGGGTCTGCTTGTCCACGCTCCCCCACCCCAAGTCAGCCCCCCACCTCCCCATGCACACCTCCCACCCCCAATTCTCAGTTCCCCATGCGAGGCTCGGCCCCTTTTTTGTGATCCTCCATAAAAGTGCAGCTATTAAAATGCACTGGTCCAGAACCGCTCTGGGGAGAGATCGCTTGGCTTTCCCAGGCCAGAGGCCCACAGCTCTTCACATCCAGTGGGGACTTTTTTTGAAGGTAAATGCCTTTTCTCCGGGAGAGGGAAAGGGGCTGCCTTTGAAGCAGTGGGGGGGTGGGAGAGGGAGAGACAGCTCCCCCCTTCTCCCCCCTTTTGCTCCAGCCCGTTCCAGGCCTTTTGCTTCACACATCCAGGGAGAGCAAGAAGAAAGCCCCCAGCCAGGCCGGGAGGGGCCTGGGGGTGGGCCCAACCTGTTCTGGCAGGGAAACGAGCACAATGGTGCCGCTGATTGTGCGGCTGGCCGGGGCGTTTATGGCCTGGCTGAGGCCCCATTCAGGACTCCGGGAAGGTGGCAAAGCTGTCCTTTCCCCTTGAAGTGCCCCCTCGCCCCCCTGGGAGGGGGGGCCGGCAGGCCGGACCACAGCCATGCTTGAGGGGCCGTCTGACAAGCAGCTGTCTGCGGTGGTGGAAAGGGAGGTCCCCCCGCAGCGGGCACATGAAAGGGCCAGGCAAGGTCCCGCGGGGAGAGGGACTTGGGGGCTGTGGGCTGTGGGGGGGCGTGGGCTGCTTTTGTGAAAGGCTTGAAGGGGGATGAGGAGAGGAGGGGGCTTCAGGGGGGCCCCCTCTGCCCTGACCTGAACAGACTGCCAGAGAAGGCTGTCGGCCAAGAGGGGCGGAGGGCCTGAACCTGGGCCAGGAGGCGAGGCTGGGACAGGCGGGACCCCAACCCCTGGCCGGGAGGCCAGCAAGAGGCAGGCCCGGCAGCCCCCCCCAAATGCTCGCCTCGGGTTTTCCAGGGTGGGGTGCAGAGTAGGTCCTGCAGCTTCTGCTCTAGGGGAACTGGAGTTGGAAGGTGCGATGCGCACAGAAAGGGTTAACCCTGCGCAGGTTAAACTTCCAGCCTCCCAGCGCTGCTCCCTCTCTTCCCCTGCCTCAAAGGTAACATTTCCTGCCCCCTCCCGAGGAGACACTGGTCCCTGACAGATGCGGGGCCGGGGCTGGCTCTGTCCAGATGGCTGGGATCGGGCAGGATGACGGTGGAATTAGGGATTTGTAGCAAGGACAGGAAGGGCTGTCCCAGCACAGACCAGCAGATTCAAGTGGAGAGAGAAAAAACGAGACTCACTTTCGTGCTAGAGCGGAGGGTATCGCCAGCAGCTGGGACACCTCCGCCAGGTTCTCACCTTGCGGGAGAGAAGGCAGAAGAGTCTGCTTCTCTCCCTCTCAGGGTCACAGATGGGTAAGCAGAGACCCAGCTTGGAGAAGGGGCTGTCCAGGCTGTGCACAGTGTGTGGGTGGAAACGACTCCCCTCCGGGCCCCAGAAAGCAGGTGGGCGGGTGACAGGCCCTCCACTGGCCGTGAGCCCCTGTTACATTGTGGCAAAGGAGGCCCTGGCAGGAACAGCCACTGGGCCTCTGCTGATAGCACCTCTTGCTGCTGCCTCTGAGTCGCTCTGCTGAGGCACCTGCCTGCCCTGGAGCGCACAGGCCGCGCACGCAGAGGAGGGGAGGAACCGGCTGGCTTCTCGGAGGGCTCTGAGGGCCCAGGGGGCGGGGCAGGGGAGGCGGGCAGGAGCTCAGGAGCCCAAGGTTAGTGCTGCACAGAAATGCTCACTGCGGCCCTGAAGGAGCCTAGGAAGGGCTCCCAAATGCTCTCCAGCGACCTAACTCAAAGCACCTGGCAGACCACCTGTTCAGTCTTGTGCACGGGGTCTTCCAAGGCCAGTAGGATCAAGGAGAAATGTGGTTGTCCTGGCTAAGTTCTGGGGAGGTGGCAGGCTCTGATCTGAGAGGCAGGGACAGGGGTTCTGCCCCGATGAGCTGTGTGCCCCATAGACCTTCTCCCCTGAACATGGGGATAGGACACTATAAACTTGAAGGCTCCCTCCAGCTCCCAGAGTCATGATTCCAGGTCTGCACTGTGCCCCTGAGTGTCCCCCAAGCCTGGGCAGCCACCAGTCCCCTGCTCCAGGGTGGACACTGAGGTCATGCCTGGCTCACCCAGCGGCCTGGGAAGGTCATGGCCACATGCCCCCTGCACCCTCTCATCTGCAGGACAAATGGCCTGCTGCCATCACAGTCACTTCCTCATCCCTCTCCCCCAGATGGACCACTGGTGGTGTCACCCAAAGCAAATTGACACTATTTTTCCCTTGGTAACCGCAAAGGGGGAGAATCACCCGTCTCCTAATTTTAACCAGTACGTGAGGGACCAGGGCGCCATGACTGACCAGCTGAGCAGGCGGCAGATCCGCGAGTACCAGCTCTACAGCCGGACCAGCGGCAAGCACGTGCAGGTCACCGGGCGTCGCATCTCTGCCACCGCTGAAGACGGCAACAAGTTTGGTGAGAGCTGGCCCCCCCCCAGGCCACCCACCCCTCCGCCTGGCCTCACCTCCTGGTCCGTCCCCAGATCCTGTGTCAGGGCTGAGGGCCCCCAAGGGCCTGCTGGCTGCGGGCCTGCCAGTTCCCCATCCCCCTCGCCTGAGCTTAGAGGTCAGTCTGGTTGGGGGTCCCCCCGCCGCACCCCTGGGCTGGCAACCCCGACGGACATAAGTCTTTCTCCCCTCCCCCCATCACAGCCAAGCTCATCGTGGAAACGGACACCTTCGGCAGCCGGGTGCGCATCAAGGGTGCAGAGAGCGAGAAGTACATCTGCATGAACAAGAGGGGCAAGCTCATCGGGAAGGTGAGGCTGGGAGACCAGAAAGGAGACGGGAAGCCGGGAAATCGATGGGTCCTACGGGGTGGGGGTGG